CGCTGAGGCTGCAACCACTTGATTAAAATTATTACATACTGCGCCTTCCCCAAGAAAACTATTGGCCTACTTAGTTTGTCTTTAAATGTCCTTTGGGCGGTGCTACTGGTGCTTGGAACTGCGTAGCTGGTAGTTGGAAGACTTGGTTCATTTGGGCACAAGTTGGTGGCATGGGAATTGGATGAACAAATTGCGCAAGACGGGGTGGTATGAGGCCAGAAAAGTTCGGTATCTAAGTGCCTCCAATCTGTTCTTATATTGAATTGTACCAAAGCTGCTGCTGCTTTAGCAGAAAATGACTTGTGATAATCAAAAAACGTATGGCCACCGTACTTGTGTCCCAGATCCACCAACTTGTGCAAATACAAATCCAGTTCTTCTCTACGATGGGGAAAACTGGTGCATACTATGTCTCTATATATGCCAAAAGCTAGGTCGAACTCCGGTATGGTTAATTTTTTACTTAGTCTGGGGTCTATAGCTTTCATCACCACTGACAAATCCCCATAGTTATAGGTCTTATTTTCCACCACGTCTTGAGACGCTATCAATAGGGAAATAAGGTTGACGTCTTTTCCCTCTAAAATATCTTTCCTAATGTTAGGAGGTACCAAGTGTGCTGGTGTGACAATGTGAGTGATAGGATTTTGTACGATTTGTGCCCCTGTCACATTATCCTGTGCTGCTATGTGTTCAATATCTGGTGTGAGATTGATGTCAGGCACCACGACAATTGGCTAAGGTGCTTCCAGTCTGTCCATTCTCTGGCTGATATTGCTAATGGATGCCAGTTTAGATGTCATGGTGACTTGCAGCCCAGCTAAGGTTTTGTTCATATTGTCCTGTGAGCTGGTTCCTGGTTGAGGAGTCTCGGTGGTTGTCATCATAATCCTGTCATGCGGTAACACTTCCGGGTTCGGTACTCCGCTGTGCGCAGCCTGACCCCACCCCCCTCTGACGCCGCTCTGACGGTATTTAGGGAGACCGCGCCAGAGAGAGGGGGCTTGATGATACTGGGAGCTACTTCCGCCAGACTTACCTCTCCACAGGCTCTGGCAATGTGGGTCCTACTTCCGAGTATACACGCCGGCTCCTGGGACACGCCGGCTCTACAAGCTCTGATGTCGTCCTAGCCTTCTGGGCTAAGAAAAGTATACTTCATGCCATAGAGGATTACTGAAGAACAGAATCTCACTTACTTTACAAGTGGACCATATCTCTGAACTATTGGAGGACTACTCACACTAACCTTAAGTGTATCTTTCAGCTATTTGTCTACGATATAATTTAATAATGAACTAATGCTTGCTTACTTAAATCTTCACTGCTTCAAGCTACTAATTATATGCAGGACAACTTCCATCATGCTTATTCACAATGAACTGTTTCTTGCTTTGCAAATACACTCAGTGCCTTAAGCTACAAATTATATGGAGGACAACTCCCATCATGCCTATTAACTATGAACTGTTCCTGCTTTGCAAATATTCTCAGCTACTTGCTTAAAGTTACTATTGAAGATTATTCTCATTAACCTAAAGAATGTTACTTAATGCATCTTTGAGGAAATACTTATTAATGAACTTTGTGTTGTTGATTACTTGCTTCTTCTTATTGGATTATTGCCTAAATGCAATTCATTTAAGTTTAACACTTATTAAAACTTCGTTTGATTCAAGTTACCAGCAATTCTCTCTTTTCTTAAAGCTACAGTATTGATACGTTAAAGATTCTCCGTTTCTTCACTATTGTAATTAGGGAGTTTTACAAGCTGCAGCTGAGTTCCAATCCAAATCACCCAAGTAGCGTAACAAATCCTACATAGCTCAGCTTTCCTTTCCGTGGCCGGATACGGTACACCCCTACATCTGAGTTCAGCAGTAATTTTAGGAATTGTCCATGACCTAAATGATCAAGGGCTATATAGATTTTCGTCTGTTGTTGGGGCCGTCGTAGGAGTTGGTGGTCTAGCTGGCGTGCTGGGTGCGGAGACATGTCCTATGTCGGAGGCGTGAGACATCCTATATGAATGAAAAAGTGTTTGATGTGACTTATTAGTAAGTTGTAGTAGATAAACAAGGCAGGTGAGGCCCTGCTACTTAACGCTGGACAGATAGGGGCTCTATCTATGCGTTGGACGTATGTCTGGGCCACCGAAGCGTTGTGGCAGGAAGGTGGGCCTCGATTAACATATAAAAGTAAACTGGGTGTGCCTGGTGAGGCCCTCTCTGTACTTTGGGTTTGTCAGGACTTATCTTTTAGATCGGCTCCGTTCTGACATGTCCGGTATGCGGAATCGTCCCCGCCCCCTCTCTGACACGGCTCTCTCAAGCTTTATAGAGACACCGCGCCAGTTTCAAAATTGCTTAGTGATTTCTGTTTGTGACTTCCGCAATCACATTGCTGGCTAAACTCTTCTTCGATAAGTTTTGTGTGCCGAACCTTGGACTGTTTAAACGGATTCCTGCCTTCTAATCTCCTCTGACCACAGACCGAATATTTGACTTCCCTGCTCTCTCCAATTTCCAAGAACCGGACTGTTAGAAGTATAACCAACCTCCAGGCTCAAACTAACCTGCCTTTGGAAGACAACTCCCAACAATCCTAAGTATTCATTTCAATATCTTCTCTGGGTTTTTGCATTACTAATGAACTGTAACCTGCTTACTAAAAAACTCTGCTACTAAAACACTGTTATCAACATCTCTGTTTCTATTGCTATTGTTTTATGCTTTCAACTAACAACCTGCAAAATCCACGCAGCCTTAAAGCTACAGTAACTTTCTTAATTAAAGGATTTTCATTTCACACTCTATTAGAAATAAGGAAATTTCAAATCTGCAGTTGAGTTCCACAATTATTCAACTTGTGACATAACAGGGTTGAGTACTGTGAAATCTACCTATGAGTTGGACCGAAGGTGAATACCTCTGGGATGAGGATGACCTGGGAAGTATTATGCAATTGTCGTAATTAGTGCGGTTTCTATGCCCAACTATTGTGCCAGTGCCTATATCGTGTCGTAGGTATGATTCCTTGACTAATAAGTACCTGACGAGTGGGTATTTAGGCTATGGCTGTACTTGTATATGCTTAGTTTGCTTGGCCTAAAATGAAAGTAATCAAAGTAAAACACCCGAAATAGGCGTACCCCTTCTCCTAAACAAATAAAATGGGTTTTTTTCGTTTTTTTTATTAATTTACCTGTACCGCAACTAAGCGTTTGATTCTATTTAATTCCTATTTTGACAAGATGTAAGGTGCGGTCTATATCTCTGTCGAATTGTTATGACCAGCATTGGCCTCAATGAATCTGTGACCTACGAGGGTTAGATGTAACAATATGCACTCTACCAGTTTGGACTATGATGTTTCTACCTCAGGGAAGATTCGCGTATAAGTTCCTCCTAAGTTAGCCATAATGAACGTACCGTATATTACAGGCAATCCCTTGTGCTGGGATGCTCGTGTGTTGCAATTGAGAACAAACCCACCTGCAAGGACATGACAATACAAATTTAACTTACCTCGTCTACCAGTATACCTACTTTTACCCATATGCCGTACACCTGATACTACGATACCGTTTACCTGCCCCCCTTAACTGCCGCTTCCACCGAGACTATACGTGATTATATCTATTTATTTACATACAGTTGTAATCAGACTGCGATGACTGTGTCCGCCCACCTCATTAATTTAAATTTATTTGCTTTACATTTTATATAAATCTCTTAAACCGATATGCATAAAGAAATATATATATATATATTGTGGATAGCCCCCGAAGTAATTTATAGCCCGTGACGTAACCTTTAATATGGACCAGTTGCAAAGTTACCCGATCTATATACCTATTATATTACTCTCCTAATACATCTTACAGATAACTACCACTCTAAAATAAAAACAGTTCCATACATAGCATGTCATATGTTGAATGCGTCCGTAGGTGGCATTGTGTGCTTCTATGAACGGTATAAATGTACTGCGATTCGTGTGTTAATGCCGTGTTCGTGAGTTTGATCTCGTTAGATCCGTGTGGGTTAGTACCGATATAAGCCGTTCGTGGATTAAGACTGTCCATTATGTGCTCCCACTCCCCAGGTCATTCTGTTATGTGGTTTGTGCATAATTCCCGTTTGCCTAGTTGTTCATGCGTCTGAATGTTCAATACTTGTAATTGGTATTCCCCCCCTTTATGCGTATTGTGTGTGCCATCGATTCGTGTGTTTAGGTCGTTCGTATGCCAGTACTCACGATTACCGGTATGTTGAAAATGGAAGTGTGACCCGCCGCTCCGGAAGCTGTGGTGCCGTGGGAAACCTGCTTGCCCGCGGTGAACGATGGCTACCTGCTACCGCCGTCTGTGCAGGCCTGTTTAACAGTTGGAAATCCTGCTGGCATGGAGGAGGAGTAACCTGGCTGGACTGGAGTTTGATTAGTGATTCCTGCCTTCTGGACCAGAACCGGAAGTAACCAAGCGCTGTCAGCAAGGTATGGAGGTAAGTAGTGAGTTTACATAGGTCGGTTGCAACCCCTCCCACAACTCCAGGCTCCAAAATAACTGCTGTTATTTGCCATTTAAATTACTGGACTAATATGGCTACTACAATCTCTTCCTCTATATATATTTAAATTATTTATTATTAAAGGAATGATCTAAGTTTAAAGTGGGAATTTTGAATCCATATACCAAGTTGATTGAGTGTTACTCAGATATAATGATGTAAGTAAAATTAGAGAATTATTTTGAATAAAAACCATATTGCTGTTTTGTTTTTGTGTTTTAATTGATTCTCTTTCAGTTACAATTATGGAAAAAAAAAATGTTAAAACATGCACCAATATTGCACTGCCTTTTCCATTTGTTGTTTTTCTCCTCATTTTTTCCTTTCTGTATATTATAAAAAAAACTTTTGAAATAAAGAGTGTTAAAATATAAAAATACAATAAAACACAACAGTCTAAGCATTGTTTGTGAATTGATTTATTGTCAGCTAAGGACTATAAACAGTGTAAAATATAACCAGTTTATTAAAAAAGTAAAATAAGAATATTTGTACATCAGGTAAAGCTTAAATACAACATTACACATTGGAAAAAAAAATGAAAACATTTGACAAAGTAAATTTGCCAGATTGGTAAATAAACAATCTATGCTGGCAGAAACACAAAAATAAACAAGTCTGATTGTTTTCATTATAATTAATAGAGTTTTTATACAAATAACATTTGCTAAAGCCCTAAAGGGCCCAATTTTTCCAATTAATATCCATTACAATAGTTACCCAACAGTTTGCAAACTGGGTTGCAGATTTACTCCTTCAAAATATATCAAAACTAAATAAAGTAGTAAACATATATTTGTTGAAGGCGTTAACATATACATTAATAGCGGACAGCTCTCTTGAAGTGCAAGACCTGTTCTATCCACATACCATGTAAATAATAGCTTTCTTGACCCATCTATGCAATATAAATCTAGCACGCATAAGTGAATGGAAATGTACTCAATAACTGAAGCTACTGATGGCAAAGGCTGGATTTCTAATTGGGTACACTAGACACTTCAATGTATAATTGTTTTAGAAATACCGAGGTATTCAAATGGAGGAACCTACTGCTAGCTCCACCCACATCAGTCCACATTCTACCATTGGGGTTTATGGTCCATCAAATGATGTTGTAGCCTCTCCACAAGGTCATAAATTGAATGGTCTGAAGTATACTTCTTGATCTAACAGATGATCGGCACTCATCTTCAGTGACTACTTACAATATAAAGATAAATGTAATAGAATCTTATAATTTCAGTAAATTCTCAAATTTGAAATAAATGTTTGTATGTAATATCTTGGCCTGCTTGATATATATAATAACATATTTGTGTTTCAGTTTCTCTCAACATTAGTTGACGAATAATAGTAGATGAATATAATTATTAACAAAAAAAAGTGTAAATATTATAAATATAAATGTCCCTTGATATTCAGATGTCTCACTTCAGCATGTAAATCCAGCCCTTAGAAAATTGTCTTTAAAATGTAACAGAAATGTTAGATGTTCCAAGGTAATCTTGGCTTTTTCACCACCACTATACTAAATATGCTACTTTACAAATGTACCAGTAATAAATATTTTAAAAAATATGGAATACATAAATCGAGAAAATCTTCAATTTAGGAGATTTATCATTTAAAATGGTAGATTCAATAGAAATATTTGTGGGACCAGTAAAAAAAAAAAAATGTTATCTTAAATTACGAGATTGATAAATCTTCAGCACAATTAAATTTTGCTCAAAATGGAAATGGCAAGTCTATAGCAACTTCAAGGAGATTCACTATGTAAGGTAGAACACAATTAACATTAGGTATTTTATTATGTACATTAAATTCAAACTTAAATGACTAACAAAATAAAACATAAAATACTGTACAAATAACTTATTCAGAAGCATATGAAAAATCGTGCAAAAGTATAAAAGTCCCATATGTATAAATGCCACTTGTAGGACTTTTGTCGTGTTCAAAATAAATGAAATTCAAAGGAACCAACTGTCTCCCATCAGTCCTTGCATAATCAGGGAGTAAAATACAAACAAAATGCCCATTTTGCACTTTTTCAACTAATTTTTGAATCAAAATTACAGTTTAATACAAGTGCAAATTAATATAAAACATTTTATGCTCGGTATCATGTTAAAAAAAGGACATACATTGTTGCAGAAATAAATCTAAAAGATAAATGCAATAGTACAATATATTATATTCTCTGCTCAGTGCCTAAAGAAATATTGAAATGGTATATTTAAATTTTTTAAAATGCCACTTTCGGAAAACATTGAAATAACAATTCAAATAACACTGACATTTTCGTAATGGAGACTCTAATGTGAGAATAAAAACTTTATTAAAACAGTCTGGTGCACTAAGTTAATACTTAAATAGACACTCCAAGCTGTGAAACTACAAACTTGTATCTGATAAAGCGTCACATAATACTCATATTACTTTGCATGATAACAGCCATTTTTTTAATGGTGCCACAACGTGCACATTTTTTCAATGCAAAAATTATTGAGACAATGAATTAAAAAATGTAGATTTTTAAATATATGCAAGTGTTTTCCCATATCGCTAAATAAGAAGTACTTGCATATACACAGTCTCTGTGCATTTGTTAATTTACTTGTATGCAACTTTACTATGGCTATTGACCTGTGCAAGCCTTTATGGCTTCCATATATTTGAACGAGGGAAGCTCTAAATATGCTGCAGTGTGCTGCCTTATAGACTTGTGTATTCGGTTTCAACAAATTGAAGTTCGTCCACTTATGCATTCGGTGGATCGTTCGAATTTCATAACACAGTAGCACCACATGGACATATCAACAAATGACACAAGCAATAAGAAAACAGTTTTATTCATTTTGTGATTTGGAGTTATGCTTTTGGCACTAAAAAATAATTTGATTGATGGGAAAAAGATGATTGGGCAGCCACTAAATGTTGATTTTATTCACAGATCAAGTGTGGAGTGAGCAATAAAGGAAAAAAGGAGGAGCGGTGAAATTATTTTAATGTATTTTAAATTTAATAAAGATATAATCTATAAATAGAATATTTTTTTTATTTGCTGCCTTTTTACCCTCTCTCTTGATCTGTGAACCAAATGGTGAGAAAATGGGCCTGTCAATTTACTGCAAAACATATACATCGTTCTTATATTGTGTATATATTTTGTAGTACACTAATTGGCTATTTTCAAACTATTTTGTTTCATCCAAGTCGTTTTTTACATGTACATGTACAGGTAATTATTAAAGTAACAGATATATATCAGATACATAGCTAGATAGCGTTACTCAAAGCTTAACCAAAGCTCGCTTTTGCAGCTGATAATTATGTTTTTTATATTTTCAGTAATCACAAATATACATCTATCTATGTGATCCTTCATGGAACACATACATAGAGCAAACCTTGTATGTGTGCATTATGAGAAAATCCTCTCACTTTGTATATGCAACACATTGCTCCTAATTTGTGTTAGAATTTTGAACTTTTTTTAGTGTCTATCACCATTATTTATTATGAAGAAATTCAACAACAGTTACTGCCCAAGTCATGGAATATACAAAATTTTCAACATGAGCCTGATGTGAAGTTTCTTAGAAAATGTAATTCTTATTTCAATTATATAATTTAAAAAAAGTTTTCAACTTATCACCTAATTGCACACTAAGAAATAATGACATATTCACTTATGCAGTAAATTTAAAGTCTTTAAAAAAGCTGGACATTTGATGAAATATGAAACTCAATTGAAACAGGAGTTTATTCACTAAACTTTGATTTATAGCGAATTGAAACTCTCCAATTTAAAAAAAATAAAATCCTGCAACTTTGCTTTTATCATAGCTTGGCTTTTCAATTTCTGATTTTAAAACACTACAATTTAGATCAGGGTAGGCAACTTTCAGCACTCCAGATGTTGTGGACTACATCTTCCAGAGATGGATTAAGAGCTCGTTGGTCCTGGTGCTGACAATTGCAATGCTTAATTTCAGAATTATAATGATGGAAAACACTAAAACAGTCATACCTCCCAAGCGTCATGTATCTGGTGGAGGTGGTGCTGGAGGGGAAACTCACAGAATGCAGCTATAAGAAAACACATTCCCTTTGCTAATCTCTTGCTTTCATCTCTAAAGAAAATCCATACCCACTTACAGCTGCGTCCGGTGAAGCAGGATTTTGGTGGTGGGGTAAAAGGGTGGGCCACTGATGCAAATCACGTAACAGGCATCGCCCAACGGCAGACATGCTAACAAAAGGGGTGGGTCTGTCCAAAGAATTAGAAGGACAGTCTGGGGTGAATGCATGTCAGGCTGCCCGCCAATCATGCAGGCTGGCCAACTAAGGGTGTTCTATATAAACAGCTTCCTGAGCTTGGCAGAAATGTGTCTCGCTCCCCACTTTCTGGGGACTGTCCCTCAGCAGAAGCTCCTTGTATGCAAACTGGGACAGAGAAAATTTAAATGTAGTGAGTGTAGAATTAAGGAGATATGCTACACTGTTAGAGAGTTTAAAGCAAGAGCATTTGCATACTGTACAAAGTCAGCTATACCTTAACTAATTTATAGTCAGCCAGTCCACACAGGTTGTGTTCAGTCATCATTGAATAGGCATACATATATGGAGCTTCAGCTCTTTCAGCCCCTATGTTAATCCAGGCCTGACATCTTCCCTGATGCTTTGCCAGCATTATGGTTTAAAGAGCATTTTGGGAGATGTGGTCTACAACATTTGGAATGCTGAAGGTTGTCTACTCCTGATTTAGAGTTTAGTGAATAAAGCCTTTGAAGTTTATAACTGAATATTTTTCTAAAGCTGACCTACATCAGTGAATGAACTAATATTCTAATTACACAATGTGCTAGTTGCCTAGACACTTAGTTGCAGATGATGGTTCATTAGAAATGTAAACCAAAAACACTTCGAAGCCAATATTTGGTTAATGTTGCAAATCATCAGATGGGAGGTCAACTATTGGTGACAACCACCAGTATGTTATCAGTTCTTAAGCACTTCCTTCCCTGCAGGAGCTCCTTATTTTGACAGTGTCCAATTTATGACATCGTTAACAGTCAGAAGACAGTAGCACATATTATTTTCTGGCTCTCTGTTTCTGCAATCAGGGTGAGTTAAAAAACAAAGTCAGAAGGCAATGTCACACATCCAATTTCTACATTAGATTTTAATTCATTCCTGTCTCTGTTATCTGACTCTGTCACAAGTCAGACACAGAAATAAGCCCCTTATACCATATCTACATGATATCTGAATCTAACTTAGGACTCCAACAGGTGAATAAATAGGATATATAAAGGAAACATAATTCAGATGTCAGATGCTAAAAACGGATGTGATAATGACTGTTTCTGACTTTTGACTAATATGGGTGTCAGATACAGAGATCAAGATGAGAGGCCAAACTGGATAAGACACCTGTCACTCTGACACTTAAATTTACCTGGGTATTATTTAGGAATCAGAAGTAGAGATCAGACAAAAAAAAAATATGACACTGTTTTTTGACTCTGATATATGATAATGTTATAAAATGGATACAGTATAGGATCTACTGATTTAGCACAGGTTCAACTAACAGATAGTTGACAACACTACTTTTTTCACTTGCACTTATTTAATTAGAAGCAATAACCTGGCTACGGGGACTACTTGATTTTAAATGGAAAGAAAAACTACCAAAAATAATATGTATGTTATATTGACAAAAGGCATTGTTGAAAACTGTTATTCTGCTATTTGAGTCTCACAATGATCCTTTGTGTTTTAAAAGTTGCTTAAACAATTGTATATCTGAAGCAATTTGTCTTTGTCTGAGACAGATATAAAATAGAAAAACGCACCATGATTGCTAGTGTAGACAAAAGCAAGGTGAACAGAATATTAAATATAAAACCCAAGGTAGCAGAGACTAGTAGCACAACACTACTTATTATGACAGTGTTTGCGTTAGGGTCAATTAATAATCAAGTCTCTAACTAACATACACTCTAACTAACAGCACACAGCCTGCAGTTCTGGTCAAGTATTAACAAAAATGACAAAAATATTACATACACACAAACATATAAATGTAAAAAAATCACAACCCTCTCTCATTGACCCTCTTTGTAGATAATTCAAAGATGTCTGTTATGAGTTGCAATATCTTTACAGAATTGAAGCACCGTGAGGTTCTACAATACCTTCCTAGGCCTTGCCAGATAAAATTTAAGTCATGTTTTCCAGTTACTGAGGCTCCTAACTAAGGAGCCTTCGCTAGAGAAATGTTAACATAGCGAGATGTCAGTTTGTCTATGCATAAATTTCTTGTCTGATTTTTCCAGTAATGATGTGCGATCTTTACTATTTTTAGTGGCATCTGCCATCTGGCATGTAAGTCTACTATGTCATTAATATTTATTTTTAATTAAAAAAATTGAAACGTTTGATTCAAAATGGCTTCTTCATGCAAGTACTCCAACACAGAAACTGCAAACAAGCTTGCAAATACTTGACAAACATACTAAACTCAGATAGTTATTCAATATCAAAATTATTACCTAAGAGCTTATTGAACTTTTCTTATTTTATTACAAATGCAAAGATAAACAACCCCTTAATGGAACTGTGCCTGGTTGAGCACATCTGGCAGTAAAAGGGTCATTTATACTATAAAAAAGAAAAACTATTGATGTAATTACCTGCTCTAACTGTGTAGTGTTAAATGTCAGATGTATGACATTTTAAAGCAGTGATAGTATTATAAAAAATATATATCGATCACAACTTAACAGAACAAACTGCTAAATTAATGATTCATATAGTATATGCATAGGGTATCTGTGCAGTATATGAAATGTGTGTATTACCTCAAAGCATACCTTAGGACAGCTCTGAAAATACATAAATATACATCTACAGGAGACAGACTTTTGAAAATATTCAAAAACATGAGCTCAAACAACTCAAAAAACATGTGTCAGGGAAGTGAAGTTGGAAGTGAACAAAAACAAAACACTTCCTATGTTTAAGGTACATAATAGTACATGGAATTCCATTTTGCATTCTTAGAAAAAGTCAATAAATAGAAGGCAGTGGGAGGGTTGAAGATGGAATCATCGAAAGGCACTTTATGGAAATTTGTCAGGATTTCCTTAACTGTTCCAAAAGATCAAAAATGTAGAAGTTTCCCCCAAAATTTTTTGATTAAAGGAATATATTTATACATATGAATCTGTTCATATAGTGTCATAGTCCTGTGGAAAGAGTCTGTTCAGTTTTTCTTTCATTCTGTCAAATTTATCAGTCAATGAACAAAAATTATCAATAAAAATTGACATCCTGAAACACCTTATGTGAACAGAATGGACACTTTTAAACACTTGTCTCTTTTCCCTTTCTATCCTTACATAGGAGGGCTTTCTTGCAGTAACACAACGAAACTGAAATCCGGCAAGTCATCGCAATGGTGCTGTGATTGCCTAGATATCCCACAATCTCTATCAGAAGATGATGTAAGTCATTCAGACATCATCAGGTCTTCAAGCATGGAATATTGGGTTCTTCATCCTTCATATACGCAGGCATGTTACACGTTCTATCCAGCTTCACTTTTTGGCCAGTAGCCATGGAGTCTGACCCTTAAAATTACCAAATAAAAGTACTATTGTAAGCAGCTAACCGGGAAGGATTACATCAATTACAGTGTTACATCATATTAAAAGACTGGGGTTCTAACATTTGTTTAACATGTGACTCTAAATGCAAATGTTCATAGCTCTCTTTCTTAACTATATTATTCTAAGTCCCTGATGTATTTTTAGTGTGTCAGCAAAACCTTTCTTCTAGCCATGTGATAGAATTGAAAATGTTCCTTTAGGAATGCAGAAACTGCAATATTTAAATTATCCTTATACAAACTAAGTATTTAAAAGATGCAGAGATGATAAGTTTGTGTGTTCTGTATATATGGTATCGACCATCAAACATGAAGCAGGAGGCAAAGTAAGGAACAGTCCTGGTGGGGGATCCATAGTTTGATAATGTGTTTTGTTCTTCTATTGAGTAAGTCCTAGCAGCATTTTAATATAAACAAGGGAATGTTTGAATATTACTGAATAATATTGTGTGTATTTTCCTACCATAAAATAAAAAAAAAGATATAATTGCCCACAAAACTGACTTATGGTCCTTGAAGGGACTATATTATTATTATCGTCATTTATATAGTGATATTCTGCAGCGCTTTACAAGATTATAAAGGGGTAAATTTAACAATACAACATGTTACAGGAGCATCATGTTGATGAGGGCCATGCTCAAAAGAGCTTACATTCCAAGCACCATAACACTATAGTTTATTGTACATGTTATAATGTAAGGAGACTTTGGGTGAAGTCGTTTTTGATTTTTGTTAAACAGTTCTCAAACAAGTTAACAAAAATGGGTGTCTCCACACTACACAAAAAAATAATGAAGGTGTTTCTTTGTTTACTTCTTAATATTTGTTAGTAGACTTTACCTTCAACTTGGCAAATTATGACAAACCCCTGTGTCACAGGGAGCCTGTCTTAATTCAGTTGTGCCAAAGGGGTTGATGGTGATGACCAGTGGCGTACACATGACCCATGAGGCCCCGGTGCGAAAATTGCTCCGTGGCCCCCCGTCCCCCCGCGCACGGGCCGGGCCGCAACACATGGCGGTGGGCACCTGGTCGCAGGGGTTACAGGGCTGCAACCCCTGCAACCGCGGTATGTACGCCAGTGCATGCAGATGCACACACACTTAAAGGACCACTACAGACACCCAGATCACATCAGCTCAATGAAGTTGTCTGGGTGTCAGGTCCCTCTAGTTTTAACCCTGCAGCTGAAAACATAGCAGTTTCAGAGAAACTGCTATGTTTCACTGAGGGTTAATCCAGCCTCTAGTGGCTGTCTCACTGACAGCCGCTAGAGGAGCACACTGAATGTCCATAGGAAAGCATTGAGTAATGCTTTCCTATGGGCGGTTTGAATGCGTGCGCGGTCGCATTCGGAGCTGAGAGGCTGAGGGATCCCCAGCGCCAAGGGAGTCCGGCGCTGAAGAAAGGTAAGTGCTGAAGACACACACACTCTCACTTACAGACGCATACACACTAGCTAACAGACACACACATTTACTGACAGAGACACACTCAGCGACAGACATACATACACTCTCATTGACAAACACACACTCACTAACAGACATCAAACAGACTCACTAACACCCACACACTCAGTAAGACACACAGTAACACACTCACTGACACTCACTAGCAGACACTCACTCTAACACTCACTCTAACACTCACACTTTTTTTTTTTTTAATTTTTAATCCCCCCCAGCCTCCTTACCTTTTGGAGTGCTGGGGGGATTCCCTGGGGTCCAGTGGTGCTGCTGGGCTCCTGGGCGGGTGGCCGGTCGGGCAGGCTGGCGCGCAAGGGAGCACTCAGTGCTTCCTCTTCAGCTCCCTCGCGCGCCGCGTAGGGATGCCGGTGCCGGAAGATGACGTCATCTTCTGGCTCCGGTGCGGTGCGCGAGGGAGCTGAAGAGGAAGCACTGAGTGCTCCCTCGCGCGCCCGCCTGCCCGACCGGCCACCCGCCTTCCGGGTGTCAGCAGGGCCAGCCTCAGGGGGCCCTGGGGTGGTCGGCTCCTGGGCCCCCCAGGGGAAGAGGCTGGCCCTGTGGCTACATACCGGGTCGCAGGGGCGGCCGGGCCCCCTGGTGGGCCGGGCCCGGTCGCAGCCGCGACCCCTGCGACCCTGGTATGTACGCCACTGGTGATGACTGACTCCTGCCAACCTGTGCAAATATATTGACCAAAGTTAAAAGCCTTTTCATTATCACATTAGCTGCAAAAGTATTGGACTTTGGGTGCTGGGGAAAAACCTGTTTTTTTGTTTTGTTTTTTTAAAACAACTTGCAAACATTGCACTGAAACCAAAAGGAACAGCACCTATAGTAACCTTGTGCCATATCCCTACAATAAGTTGTAGTGGTTATTGTGCTTGTATAGTCCCATTAAGCATCCACGTTTTGTGTATACATCATTTTAATACTAAACAATGAATTGTGTTATTGTCATTCAACTAGGGGGTGTTTTTAGCATTCCTAAGAAATTACACGCAAAAGTTTTATTTGATTTTAGTTAATAAAGACTTTTCATAACTTAAATATTTTTTTCTGGTTTATTCACTTGGAGATTTTTACTACATTCAAAAAAAAAAAAGTAAAAAAAAAATCAAAAGTGTACAATAAATTTTTTTTATTTGTGACACATCAACTTTCTTTGACTTTAAGCCATGAATATTTTTTACCTAAATATATGGTTGACCTAACTATATGTTTGTGAGGTGCTAATCACTCAGACTAAGGGGAAAGAAGTGGTTAACACCATGCAAAACCGAAAAATACAGTTTTGAAAAAAAAAGTGTTTTTTTTAAATATATTTTACATTTGCTTAAAACTAACTCTAAATGTATTAATATATATATGAATTCAAAGAGATTCAAACTTTTCTCTCAGTACTGTGTTCAGTCTGCCCACTAACTATATTATCCAAATCTAATCATCTCTAACATGTCTGCCATACCCTTTCTTGTATAATAAGTGAAGTCTCTCTAAGTCTCTCTCAGAACTATTTAGGTGTGGGAGACCTACATTTAATAGAACATGATAGACATGATAGATATTCTTTAAAAAAAATGCTTTCTCCTAACTGTATAGCTGTATTCTTAGATCTTTCATTATGATACTTAAATTGGTTTCCTTTGAATATCAGCTAAAATATATTTACACTTCTTCTAGCATTTTAACTATCTGCCTCAATCATTAGGAAGTTTAAATCTCTTTTCTTGGTTATCAGAAAATAACTGTGAAAACTTAAATAAAAACTTAAAAAAGACAACAAAGAGCTTAAAACAAGAAATGATAACAATGTAAGGTCAACTATCAATGCCTATACCATGAGCTAATTTAAGAAAAACTACATGTCAACCCACTCTCAATGTTCACTTTCTTAACTAATTTGTCAGAGGTGCAAGGATTTTTTTCTGGTCATCTCTTTATCTTTTGATTTCAGTCTTTACAATTGATAGCTGACAATCTGCAGTACTTCTGTGCCCAGGTAGACACCCAAGCATAATATAATAATTTAAATTAATTTATATAATTTAAAATTTATAAATAATTTAAATTAATTGATATAATGTTACCATAGGCTATTTCAGCACTGCTAAGCATACAATATCAGATAATGCCAATATTTCAGATGTAACAGTTACACTTTAATAAATAATTATTTGACAGTTAAAAAAGAAAACCAAAGCCCTCTTGAACTTTGGTATACCTAAGACCTCAGGATATTCTACATTCCATCCGGTCTCTATCACAGATGTTTCTAATTTAATAACAAGTGTGTGTAACTATAAACGATACACTGTTTTTTCTAACTATGCCTATTACTCCAATTTAAAGTCGAGACAGTTTTAAACTAATGTTTTAGAAAAAAAAACACTGAAAAAACATGATTTGATTAATACACTTAAATGAACTGACCTGAAAGTTAAAAAAAAAAAAAGTTAAATTGTTGTTTTAATCACAGTAAACTTGGTGTAACCTTTTTTCAGCTTTAATGTAATATTGCAATAGAAAATGTTTTCATTTAATTAAAATATTGATTTGTATTGGAGAAAAAAAACATTCTATTTTAATGCTATTTGAGAATTTACTGATAGTAGTTTAATTGTATAGAACATTATATCCAGAACAATCTAGATAAAAGTAGAACATGCGGCTGGAAGTAACTTAATAAGTTCACTTTTTTCTTTAAAGCCAACTTTGGTTTGGTTTGGTTTGCCAATGTGCTTTTTCTTTGGGGTAAGGTATAAGTAAGTTGTACAATGAATTATTAAGAAACAAAATAAAAAAGAAATAGAATTTCACCCAAAAAATGTTTATTACAGAAAATATTTAAAATAAAAAAGTGTTCTTTAAAAATGACAGCTAGAAAAGTTGTATTTTTATCTATATGTTATGTGGGCAGAATACAAATGTGTCAAAATAAATGTTCTTCGTGGCATTGTGCAGTTCACATTTAATGTGAATAAGGGGAAAACATTTTAAGAGCAATTGAAATCAGAGCGTAATAGTAAATTTTTTATCTCAAGCATTAAGATTAAACAGAACCTTCTAAAAAGTTGTTTTTTTTCCACACCACTATATATATATATATATATATATATATATATATGACTTAAAATTGCCTCTCTTTATGGTCTCTGCATCTTTAGGCAAATTAAACATTGCATTTTCTGTTTCCTGTATAGTGAAAGGTGTTGACCTAATCAGAACAACACTGGAAATCCGTGTTCGGATTGGCTAGAGTGTCACGCATTTACCATAACTTTTTTTTTTTTTTAAATAAGTAGCTGTCTCTGAAAGTATCAAATATCTTTGTGTAAGAGTTAAAGATAACATGACTGAATAAGATGAGTGAATGCATCGATACTGTGTGCATATGAATTCAACCTCGGTTTAGTAAAAATGTTTTGGTGACCAAGAAACTTTGAGCAGATAAACATACATTGTATTTAACCTATACATGATAAAATTAGGAATCTGTTTTCTATAACATTAATTGCCCCATATTGCAGTCTAGAATATTGGAATGTGGATACAGATTTATAATTTGGTCTTTTTAAATACCGGTAATTGTTTTGTGTATTTTTACTTCAATCTATGATCTAAATGTCCACTCAATTTTTCTTCCAGGACTACACACCACACAATCAGACTACAATAATTCTGATTAACACTGAACAACATTAAGTAACACTGATCAGAAAGTTGCAATTTAAAAATGAATTAAGTGTAGATTCCACTGCTGTGGGAAAATGTATTTTTTAATTAAATATCATACTCGGAAATTGCTTGTCACTTTCTGATGAACTTTTGGCACCAAAGTACAATAACTTAAAAAGCATTCTTTAATAAATGTGCACAAATATCATGCAAGTACAGCAGCATTTTTGGCAAATATTAGGAAAGCACATAAACAAACAAAAAATATGGTCCAAAAAATGAGAAATATTTTAGTATTTTCTGTACAAAAATGTATAAAGTTTGGAATTCCTTCTTTTAATGAACACTGTATAAAAATAAATATTCTATGTACAGACACACAGGACAATCCCAGGGTTAGAATGATCACTGCAAAAGAAAACAAACTTGGGTTAGTTTTGACATTTTAGTGACTGGTAGGAAATCAAAATGTATTAGGTTAGAAAATACAAGGGCACATGTATGTCACAAGCTTCTGTACATGGGACTTACAATGTGCTCAATATCAAAACTATTCTTTCCTTCTAATGTGTGATAAAAAGCATACCTCATTGAGATTCGTGAAACCCCCAATGAAAACATGCATGCATTTAATTATGTATTCTTTTTCATTCTGGGTTTATCTAACAACAGCTTGCAAAAGCTGTGGATCTCTTGCCCGCTGCCTTTGCAAGCTCTCCCATTTGAACAATGCCCAGACTTTCTGTGGCTGTCCAATCACAGATTTCCAAGTACAGCTCAATGAGAAGTCTTTGCAAGGCAGATGCTCTTAGCAATTGCTGGCTCTTGAGTTTGGCCCCAGTGAGCTAACAAACCAGGATTGACAGTCAGGGGGATGTACCAAGGTTAATTTACAAAAGTTCCCATTTCTATTGAAATCATATACTTGTTCAAAAAGTGTTACCATATCATAATTAGACTAAACCTATGTTAAAAAGAAAAAAAAGAAAAAAAAATATTCAAAAAGGATAACTAATTTCCATTTCATTTCCAATGTTAATTAAGGGACTAGCTACATAATTTGTGTGTATATAATAAAAGGTTCATTACTTCTAATAAAAGATTGTATTCATAGTCTTCCAACAAACATTACTTCCTTGTCTACAACGTGTTTGCATGTTAGGGTATTACTGATCATGGGATTTGTTTTAAATGTCATCATGGCAAAACACACACTGCAAAACAACCAAGGCAAATACACTAAGCATACAAGTTATAGTACCTTATTCCAGCAGCCCTGTACTGGTAAGCCATCTTCTCCCTAAGGGAATAAAACAAGGTAGGTTTTTATTTAATCTGTCACACTGGATCACAACATGCACTGAACATAATATTTATAAACGACAAAGCAATGCATTTTATAGAGACATACAATTCAGCTTCATCATCAATCACATTCAAAATTTTCGCTGAACCTTGTGTATGGCAAACATGCTTTATTTTTATGGAGATTAATCTTTTGGATGGCAGTAAATGTTCAAAGCAGTACATCTTACAGTTCTCTGGACTTTCTAGCGTGACTGGGCAGCATTGGATGTTGTAGGGTGGTTTATAAATGGTTTTCCCAGAGATTACTTTTTGCGCTATTGTAAATAAGTAAATGAGTTTGAAAAAATATCTAAAGGGAATTTATCAGTGTAGATTGGTGATTGGAAGGTGAAAAGTAAAAAAATATATATATATATTCAATACATTGTTAAATACTAAACTGTACACATCAGGCAAGCCATAATGCTTGCTTTTCCAATAGAAATGTCATATTTGTAGTGATGTTTCTATTGCAAAGGATTCTATGTGGACATATGCAAATGAGTTCAACAAAGAATCACCTTTTTTGCTCTCATTATTCCATTTTAAACATTCCGATTCTTTGTTGAACTTATTTACAAATGTCCACCCAGAATCCTTTGCAACAGTAACATCACTACAAATTTTAGATTTCTTTTGCAGAAGCAAGCATTATGGCTTGACTGGTGTGTGCATTGTGCATTGTGCACTGACTATCAACTGACTTCAGGTGGAAGGGCTTTTCAATCACTTATTTTTACCCACCGTCAATTGGTTTTTATATTTTACTGATATAGATATTTATCCTGAGTAGTGTAACCCCATTAATCTTGGGCAGACCGGGGGTTAATGACTGCAGCTTAAGTAGCGACCATCCAAAACTGTAACTCCTACTAATCTAATACATCACTGGGACACCCCCCCAACACATTACACTACACATTAACCCCTACATTAACCCCTTATGTAAAGTATTATATACACGAAATGCATTAAATGAGAAAGCCTGCTATGTGTAAATTATATCTACGAATGAGTTCATATGAGTTGATTTACATGGTTTTAAAGGCCCCAAGGGATGAATACAAGTGGATAGTTAATAGGTTGGGTTCAAGTACTTCCATGGTGATAACCTCCCAGTTTTAATTACATCTTGTACCTTCTATCTGGAGTGACTGATTGAGGTTTTGTATCCCCCTGTGAGTATCGTGAATAGCTTTTGATTTTTATCCTGTTCTTGTATATTGGATAATTGGGGTTCTAAGGTACTGTGAGATTCCCTTATTTTCATTATAACCCATGTGGTTAGAGTGTCCATTTAATAGAATTCTTGCCAGGAAAAAAGAAAGTGCACCAGCAGTAAGCTTCATAAAACAGTGAAAAAAGACATTATTCTTACTTACTTCCTCCATGAGATCTAACACGCAAATAACACAAAGAAGAAATTCCCTTATATTTCTGTAATATAATTGGAAAGCTTCTGCAGCGAAAAGTCTGGATAGTCATTGCCAAAAGAAAAATATGCTTACTCCAGCCTTTGGCGCAATAATGTATACAGTCTAATATATTTATGTTAGAAAATGCTTTTTCATGCAGGATATAGTTTTCTGTTACGTTAAAAAGGCAATTTATTCGGAGATAACCCATCAAATGAACATCAGACTGATTGAATGACTCTTAAATTTCCAGTTGCTCCAAAATGCTTAGTAAACTAGCAAAGTACAGTTTAAAATCCTAACATTATGTATTCTGGATAAATAAACCAATGTAATCTCGCCCGTTTGAGTAATAAGGCTTCACACCCCATTTTTGTGTAGCATGGGTTATTGGTTTTTGGAAATGTAAGAGGAGTAACGTTAAAGTGTTGGAAAAGGGGAACAAGGGTTTGATAAGGGTTTTTCATAAGAAAGTGCAGTTTGTTAAATAGTAGCTTGTGAGGAATGAAACTGGTTGTAGGGAGTGTGTCTATGTAGTGCTTATTAGAAATGTAAATGTATCACTCTTAAAATAGAGAAATGTTTAGTAGTGGTCATGCATATGATGTTGGCAAATTAATTAAGCTAGTTATTGGTCATGTTTAATAAAGTCTATTTAAAAAGTCATACTTTGGATTGAAGGACTTGAATCTATGTTTTCATGTCACATTGCTGAAATATGATTTAATTTTTCTTTTTTTAAATTACCAATATTTTTCTAAAACAAACCATGCAACGCTGCAAAATGTAGAACTACACATCCAGGGAAACTGAGATGAATCTAAGAATCATATATATATATATATATACATATATTATTATTTTTTTCCTTTAGAAAGTGAAATCATGTTTAGTTTCTATCCAGAATTTGGATTTGAACATTTCATTTGTTCTAGATGTTGCCATGAAATGCCAATAATGATACTCATTGGTCTAAAATGTTTATTGAGATTAAAGTCACAACTGTGCAGTACTTAATTACCTAGATTCAGCAGGAGTTCTATTAATTTGGGTAGTAAACTACATTTAATGTTCTTGGTAGAAGCAATAAGGTGGAGGAATCTTTGTTTATGACATTCATGATTAGTAGTCATGAGTCGTGGTAAGGGAACAACGTCAGCACATGGAACACAACAGCATTTTAAAATGTTTGTAGTGCAAAGGTTCTTCGGGCAACTGTATCCCCATATAGTGTGACAATTTTTGAAAAGTTTAACAAAAAAACTTGTTAGTTTCAAGCAATTTGTAAGTTGTTGCCAAAATTAGCTGTTCGACTTTGGTTGGCAATGATAAGGTGGTTGGCAATAGTAAGGAGTAGTGTGGGTGGGTTATTTCAGTACTCTCAGACCATTATTTATACCCAAACTTAGACAGCTAATGTTGAAGACAACCTCCTTATTTATCCAGGTTGCATCAAAGGAGCTGGGCTTTCAACACCAAGAGATCCTGGATTTTTGTCAAAGTATTCAAAAATTGTGTGGCACTACATGGGGAAACAACGCTTGAAAAACTACTACACTGAGCTGTAGTAGTAATAGTGCTTATAGTGCTCCTTAAGTAAAAAGAGACACATGCTTGC